TCTTCACAAAATAAAAAACTAATTCAACCACAATCTTCCGTTCGACCATGAACTTTCACTATAGTTTGAGTTGTGTCAATCTACTCTACAGAAGTGTTTTTGTTTGGTGAGTTGTAGGTACAATTAGTTAGATTTCTAGTCTAATGACTGTTTGGCATCAGTTGGCATTAGACAAGTGATACTCTATTGAGTTTCATATCCAGGGATACTATTGAAATACACTAATACTAGAACAAGACAATAATATTTAGGAGCCATTTGGAGCAAAGAAAATATTTTTATTCACTATGATTTACTAGAGCAAAAGTGCTGTAAACAGTTGGTTTATTGACTAGACAGGTAACTGGATTAGCTACAGCCTAAGGCTTCTGATTTGATTAAACAACTACATTGATTAAGAATATAGAATTCTATGCTTATAAACATGAACAATAACTCAGTAAGAGACTTTTTCGGTTCACTGAAAATATTCTGTCAAAGATGAAAGTGAACAATTTACAGTATGAAGAGTAAATTCCAGAGAAATAGGACAAGCACACTTATCCAATAGGATTTCTGTAAAGCAAAAATACTGCCATTGGGGCCTCTCTCCAAAGTCGTGAGTTTACCATGAAAATTTACCAACAGAGGCTGGTGGGGTTCGGGGAGTCCTGCACTTTCACAAACAACAGAAAACTTATACATGCTGCATTTTTGGCCGTTAACAGAAATGGTCAATGGCATCAGGCTTTTGGAAATCTCGGGTTATAAATCCTGCTGGTTTGTTGAATAGCGATGGGTTCTTAAATTATTTATTGCCAGTGAAGCCCATGGGATGAAGTGAGTGATTGTAATGGGCTTCTTGTTTACATTCCAATGGATATGTTGCTGGCCAAGCCTCTCTTTGTTAACTCCCAATGGACATTCTTAAAACCAATTAAAGTTAAGTTTACGGAGCTGCTAACAGTTCTCTCTGGACCATTTGACAGCTCACTCTGAACTATCAGAGAGCTCACTATGGACCATTTCTGCTAACGGGGACTTTTGCCTCATGAAATACAGTTGTTTTTTTGAGCACCATTTCCGGGGTGTATTAACTTTTTATTATGCCATATGCAAAATACAAAAATATATGTATATTTTTAACTTATTTCCGAATACTTTAATAGTAGGCGTATCTCATGTTCTGTGCTGCCACATACACGTACCTGGAACAATTTCCATTTATGTTTTGCATTCCTCTACTGTACAGCTTTATCCTTCTGTTTGCTACATTGTCTTTCTCCACCATATTATAAGTTCTTTTAAAATACATGCTGGCTGACATTTAAAATTGTTACTCTGTAGAAGCAATTTTTTAGCATGTGCAATGTTTATAAAATCTTGCTTTATTAAATAAACATAATAAATGTAAAAAAAAAAAAAAATAGTGTAAGTTACTTTCAGAGTTATAGTTTAGTTGGTTGGTTGGTTGGTTTGGTTTCATGACAGAGTTAGAGAAAAACTTCCATGCGATTATAATAAATGTAACTGATTTATGTCGAACGTTCTGTGATCAGTAATGTGTGTCTGTTGGCGTTGTAAACCAGTCTGCTGCCCTCTCATGGGTTGATTTATGATCAGTCATATTATCATCACTTTAGAATAATAGACTTTTCCAGTTCAACTATTATTCTGTGAAAAAGGCTTTCCTGTTGTTTAAAACCAGATGGGGAATTGACAGCAAGGAGGATTTTTTGAATAGAGTAGCCAACTACGGGGTACAATAAGGTCTGGAGAAAGCACAAAGTAACCAGTGTGCGGTAAGAATGGCGCCGGAAGAAATGGCCCTGATAAAAATGGCCCCAAATGACAGGTAGGTAAAAATGTCCCTAATAATAAAATTCTGTATTAAAACTGATTTAAAAACAAAATCATTATATGCATTTTTTTAAACTGAAATAATTTAGATTTTAAAAGGAATCTAACATCAAATAACATCAGATAAAATATTCAAAGATAAAAAAAAGCCATGAATAACACTTTTTATTTTTTTTCCATTTAAATATTAAAAAATAACAACAACATAATCAAAAAATCAACATAAATCATGCATTTATTAATACTAATATACTTTATGTGTGGCTAAATTCACGGAAGCGGAATCATAATTTTCCAGAAATTCAATCCGGGTATTGGTAAACCCCACAAACAATGGGCTAATATGAGCATCAAATTATTACTTTTTTAAAAGAAAATCATAATTAAAGGGTTTGCAGTGTGCAGTATATATATATATATATATATATCACTTCTATTACTGAATTTTTTTCATTGGGGCCATTTTTTCCTGGGCTATTTTTACCAAGGCCATTTTTTCCTGGGCCATTTTTACCGGGGCCATTTTTTCCTACATTCAAAGCAGACACTTATGGTGTCACCTTGAAGTAATCTTCACCCAGTGGTTTGAAAATGGATAAAGATGTCAATCCTGAAGTTCTTCAATACATTGTATATAGGGTGTGTGGACAACAGACTGTTATGGAGAGTTTAACTTGCTTCACTATCACATTATATTCAATGACACAGTCTGGTGTTATCCCACAAATGACAAATGCACATGTTTTTGTATGTTTAGGATTTCATTTTGTGGGGCCCCAGCAACAATATGCAAGGTCTGCCTTCGAAATTCATGTGCAATTTTATAACTGTGAACCTGTATTTGATCTCAATTTCCAAACCGTAACTTCCAAAACTATTAAATCCATCCAAAGCTCTGAACAGTAAGAATCCCCAGGGTAGTAAATTCCAAGAT